GCCTCCACCACTTCCTCTGGCAGCTCGTTCCATACACACACCACCCTTTGCGTGAAAAAGTTGCCCCTCAGGTCCCTTTTAAATCTTTCCCCTCTCACCTTAAACCTATGCCCCTCTAGTTTTGGACAACCCCATCCTGGGGAAAAAGATCTTGTCTATTCACCCTATCCATGCCCCTCATGATTTTATAAACCTCTATAAGGTCATCCCTCAGCCTCTGACGCTCCAGGGAAAATAGCCCCAGCCTCTCCCTATGGCTCAAACCCTCCAACCCTGGCAACATCCTTGTAAATCTTTTCTGAACCCCTTCAAGTTTCACAACATCCTTCCTATAGCAGGGAGACCAGAACTGAATACAGTTTTCCAAAAGTGGCCCTAACCAATGTCCTGTACAGGCACAACATGACCCTCCCAACCCCTATATTCAATGCACTGACCAATAAAGGCAAGCGTACCATACACCTTCTTCACTATAGAGATAGTAGGATGCTGGAGAATCTGAGTTAACAAGGTGTAAAGCTGGAGGAACACAGCAGGCCAGGCAGCATCAGAGGAGCAGGAAAGCTGACATTTTGGGTCGGGACCCTTCTTCAGAAACACCTTCTTCACCGCCCTGTCTACCTGCAACTCCACTTTCAAGGAACTATGAACCTGCGCCCCAAGGTCTCTTTGTTCAGTGACTCTCCCCAGGACCTTACCATTAAGTGTGTAAGTCCTGCCCTGTGATGTGCCTTTCCAAAACGCAGCACCTCACATTTATCTAAATTAAACTCCATCTGCCACTCCTCGGCCCATCTGATCGAGGTCCTGTTATACTCTAGGATAACCTCCCTCGCTGTTGAGACAGGGGTCAGTGTGTGGGTTCAGGGGTCACCTACCTGCTGTCCATCCTTCATGAAGGGCACATTTCTGTTTGAACTTCTCCGCTAAGTGATCCAGTCTTTCCAACCGTCGGATCTCCGTCAGGAGCCACTCCTCGTAACCTTTCTCCACTTGTTCCAAACCTTTCCAAGCATTCGCAATGTCCTGGTGGGAAAGGGAAAGGGAGGGGAGGAGATGGGGGGTTGGGGGAGGCGAACAAGATACAGATCATCCAGGGCCCCTGAGACATTGCTCTTGCCCCTGCTGTGGCCCTGGAGAGGACTCAGGATAACCTGGGGCAATGTGTGTCCTATGGTCACCTACCCGC